CTTGTATATTACTGTATGTCACTTGCTGCTCACTATTGGTCTGGAGTGTCCTCCTACAGTAAGGTATGGAACCCAAGGATCCTTCTTTGTGTTCATTGCACACTATTTATTGTATGGATAATTGTACTCTAACTGCAGTATACAAGGGAGATGGTCTGAGTTAACTGTATTATATGTTCAATCTTGAGAGAAACAGTATTGCAAAGAAACTCCTTCCTAACTACTGCAGCTGTTTAGATTATTTTTCACATAGGCTTTTGAAACTGAAATCTTTTGTTGTCTGAGTGATTGCAAGGTTAAAAGTTTAAACAGATACAACTTCCTTTTTCTGTACAGCTTTACTCACAGTACACGCAACTCATGAGTAGATATAGAAAGGGAGAAAAAAGAAATGATGATGCCTCTTCAAACCAACCTTGGTTTGAGCTGAAAATGTGCAATTATTAAATTCTGTTTTTACAGTATTTAGGATTTGGGTATGACTCTCTGAATCAACCTCTTTTTTTACAGTCAAAAGAAAACATTCTTATTAGATAGGCACCTAAGCTACTGTGATGGAAGCAAAATAGAACTCTAGGGTAGGGGAAGAGAGAGAGAGAGAACCAAGTATCTTACTTAAGCTGTGGATGAGACTGAGGCTTCTGTTGTGGAGCAAGTTGTGGCTCTGGCTCCACTTCCTTTGATATCTTGGTGCTGGAAGTACTGTGACCCTGGGGCCGTGGTTGTTGAGTAGTAGGGCCAGGTGGACGCTGTGGCTGTGAAGCTGAGGGCTTTGCTGACTGCCCCTGGAGAAACATGCGCTGTGGCTGCAATGGATCCTGGCTTTGTGATTGCGTTCCTTGGGGTTGTACTGGGCCCCCTAAGTTCAGTACAAGAAAAACTTCATAATGTTACAGGATCAAAGAGCGTATATAAGATTTTATATCCAACACTTAAAAATAATCCTGGAATCTGTTAAATTCTGTGTTGAGACAATATTCTGCTAATATGGACCACCAGCTTAGTACAGTCAGTATTCTTTACCACAACTGGTACATTAATACATGTTTTACAGCCCTTTTGCACTCTAGCTTTAAAAATTACTATGAGATCCAATAAATCAAACTCATCCCTGGGATAATTTTGCCTTTTCATGTGAGAGGATTAGCTACAGCAGAATATCCTGATAGTTCACCAGTTCAGCTGATGCATCTATTGTTTTTATGTGATGTTATTACAATACTATAAAAAACTCAGTTATAAAATTATAGTTGCTTATATTATTCCATTTACAGTTTACCTTTACATCAGTAAAACAAACTTTATAATTACACTAACTGGAGATTTCTGGTAATCAATTAGATTTTATAGGAAAATATCTGTGAACAGAATATAGAGAGAGCTGAAGAAGTCATCACTAATTTATTCTTTGTGACCAAGGAGACAGATTTTGCTTCTTTTTTACTGACAAGACTATAAGCTGGCAAACAGAAAAGCATTATAAAAAGTATGGGAACAGCACACGAGGTAGAAACCTAAATTGTGAAATCCATGACAGATCTGATCAGCAGGCTTTTGAAAAGATGCTGTATCATCAGACTGTTGGTTTGAGGCTTCCTGAATGAAAATGTACTCAGTCAGATCTGTCACCAGGCACTGCACTTTATGTAGTGTCGGGTGTCTACACGTGGTTTCACAGGGAGGCTTTTGATAAATTAGCAGTTACAGCAGAATCTTTACTCTCACAAGTCACATCACTTATATAGCACATTGAATAAAGGGAGGCAGGGACAGAGACAAAACTTTGATAGATTTGATTAAAGAATGTTTCAGTCAGTATCTGTGCAGAATGGACCATGAATACTAGACAAGACTATTGATATAGTTGATTAGAAAATGGTCAGAATTTTAGTCCTCTTACAAGAAATTTAATGTCTAAGCTCTCTCATACTCTTTTTAGTCCTCAGAAAAGAAAACACATCTATCTATGTCTGGAAGAAAAGGTATTAGCACAATATGCCATTGACTTTCTATTTATATAGACAGATAGTCATGGCTAGTTTTCCACTTACTGTATAAGATTGTGTGTGTGTGGAAGAAAAGAACATACTAGTGCTTCAAAAAGTTTGCCACAACTAGGAGTATTCAACATTTTGTGTTGTAGAGAGGTAAGGATCATTGACTTAATACTAGGGAATGGGACTTTGGTTTTAAATTTTTATGGCTTTTTTTTAAGGAAACCTCAGAAGTGGAAATAGTCTTGCAACATCTTAACAATGCTCAATTACTTTAGCTTCCCTTCACTCAGTACTCAAAAACAAAGATCTCCCCACCCCCTTAAACATAGTGGCTTGAATGCCAGAAACTTTACACTGAAGACAGATGTAACTTTCTTTTATTGCACATTAAGCTGTACAAGATATTTCACATAAAAGATATACTGCAGTCACACTTTCAGCATTTGCTCACTTTCTTGCAGCTGGGTTATACAAAAAGGCAACAATCATGAAAGAAACTTTTATCAAATAAAGAAATAAATAAAATCTGAACATTAATCCTACACTGTAAAACATCTGTTCCCTGTTACTCACAAACTTGCACCTAAGCATGCTTGCATGCAGAGACATATTAACTTGCTGCTTGTCTGTGGTATGAAGTAATAGATATATGCCCCTCTAGCTCTTTTGCAATTAACAAGCTGAAATCCCACCTGAATACAAAGCTTTTCTTTGCACTCTTCACATAGAACTCACAAATGTCACATGAAAAGCACTTGTGTTACTCACACTACTACATGCAAAGCAACACCCACCTCTTTAAATAAAAATCATTCAGTTAGCAGATCCATTTCTTCACCCCCTGTCAGTATGCTTTATTCTCATTTATGACATCTGAAGGTAAGAATTTGTGAACCTGATCCTAAGTGTATTTCTTCCATATACAACAAAAATAATCAGTGTTGTTGCTAGTAAGATCATTGGCCCAGAAAAACATAGATCACTGAAGTAAAATTTAATGTAATTTACTGATCGGCAGTAAACAATAGCAGTCACCATTAACATTTCAATAGCTTAATAAAGCATATATAAATTTTCATTTTGCTAGCCTGCTTTCACAATTAGTAAAGCTCACAACGCTGAGGTTTTTATTGTTTGTTTGTGGGTTTTTTTATTCTTGGTGGGGAGTTTTTTGCAGTGCTTGTTGGGAAAATAAAAAGTAAAACTATCCTGTTTGTATTAAGCTAGTGACCAGTATTTGCCTTTGTATAGATTCTAAGTGACAAAATACAGTCCTGTGCTTTGCATGCTACAATAGTGCAGGTTGTGTTCCTGGGCTAGATATTTCCTAACAGTTCAATGACCTGCCTGGATATTGCTTGTGAAATTAAAGAGTAAATTGGTTATGTGAAAGTAATAAGTAATTATGGCTATAGGAAGTCTGGCAAAAGTCAAACATCTCGGGTCTTTTTGCATTTTGAGTTATGAGTAAAGATAATGTTATGTAGTTAATCCTGGGTAGAATTTTTTTTTTTACTGCATATCTTGTTATTGTTTTCAAATAGCACTGAGAGAGTAAATTATGTAGCTATTTTTTTATTACAGTTAATGGGGCAGATCCTTAGCTAGTGTAAATCAGTCCAACTCTCTTAAAGTCAGTGGAACTATGCAGATTGATACCAGATGAGGTCTCAATATCTCGCAAACAAGACATTTCAGGGGGCTCAATAGTCCTGCAGACACTTCACCAAACACTGGGAAATTAAATTAACCCTTTTAGTTAGGCAAAGAATTTCGGGGGGAAAAATTGTCTTAGGTTTTTGTCGAAACCACAGACAATTAATTCAGAACCACAACAAAAGAAACTACTTAACTGAACTGAGATATATTAAATACTCACATTTTCACTGAGATATTTCACATAGGTGGATTGATTAAAAATATGAACGCCACTATGTAAAATACAGGATATTTAAATGTTCCTCGGAAGAAGTCTTTTGTTTTATGGAATTACTGAAACACTAGAGTTCTACTCCTACTTATAAATAAAACTCAAATATTTAACAAACTTTATAAAATTTTAAAAAAGCTTCAATCAACAAATGTATTAAATTATGTTTTAGAATATCTATCTGAATCACCTATTGACGTTCATCATGCACAAAAAAAGATTACGAATATCACACACACACACTCTCACAGAGTTAAGCAAAAGTATTTAAATCTGAACCTTGATTTACCCCACAATATATAATACTTAAAAAATACTGTCTAACCACCCATAATATATAGTCGCATTGGACTCTATAGAGGCACAATTCTTTGTACACTGTTGACAACAACCCTGAAATCACAAGTTATACAGAGAAACATAGGTAAGCATTACAAGCACAGACATGAACAGGTAAACAACCAGACATTATAAGTTGACACTGCATAGAAAAAACACAGTCCAGGTCAGCACTGAAACAATGCAAAAACTGCACATAAACTGGTATGTTTGCTTTTAAGGTTGTTTTTTGGCTTTAACCCCTGCTATCACTCTCAATTATTTAAGTAGCCTGGACTTGTTTTGGTCCTACTGCAACGCCATTACAGTCGAGAATATACTGTAAACAACCTTGAGGTGGTGGTCGCTGAGGTGGGATTTTGTTTGGCTCTGGTTCCTTAAGTGATCCACTCTGGAAGATAAATACAAAAAAACAAGAGAGGTAAAAATAGAGCAGCGCAGTTACACTGTTTTATTGGAAAGCTCTCCATTATTTTGAAGTTTAAAACATGCCCTTAAGCTTTCTCTAGGTAAAGTCATGAATCCTGGCATATAAGAACTCAGGTTTGGGGTAATAAAAGAAATAAAAATAAAATATCTCTCCCTTTTCAGCATGAGGTTATCACCATATAATGTGAGCAGGAGAGTCTCTTTTCTTCCAAAGACTCTGCCATCCAAAAACCATACTGCCGCTCATTGTGAGGCCTTTTTCCTTCAACTCCTGCTATCTTTAACAACCTTTTTGCTATCACACTAACTACTTCGTTTTTTCAATTTTGATTTTGAAACTCTTCTTTATGCCTCGTATATTTTGAACTGATTCAATTAATTTTAATTCTTTGACTTAATTTCTGCATAAAGTGGGCTCTCTCCTGTCCTTACAGAAATTAATGCACATAGGATTGTGCCTAATGGGTTATATTTGTTCCTCTGTTGCACCTGTGTATTCAATGAGCTACTAAGGGGACTTCAATAGTTACCTGAATGTAAATTAGGAAAGACTTAGTCTTTTTTTCAGTGACAAGTCAGTGACATTCTCCTTCAGATTAGAAACAAACACAATGAAATTCTGCTGGCGCTGGAGTATGAAAGTGTCACTGACTATAGTTTTAGCTGTTTAATTAAGTGAAATGAAAGAAGCCAGCAAAAATATAATGAAAAATTACTTCACCCTGTCCCATCTAGCATGCCATAGTTAACTTTTCACAATAGGATATGTATTTGGCAGTATTATTTTCAACATATTCCTGTCCAGAGCAAGAGATGAATCTCAAGAAAAGCTTTGAAGCAGAACACCCTCAGGGAACATTAGGCTCTGGATCTAAGCTTTGTCTTGGGCCCATTGCTAATAATTTTCCAAGTATAATATGTTCCATCTCTGGACAAACAGCCATGCTTTATTATTTTTAAAGAATGATCAAGAAATCCAATTGCTATCTGCCAACACAGGAAAAAACCCTATAGTTTATTAAAGGGTGAATGTAAAATGAATTAACATAAAAGTCCTTGCAAAACTTGCTGTTCTTCAGAAAGATTTGTGTTTGATCTTAAAACTGAAGAAATACATCTTGGCTGTGTCTAGACTGGCCAGATTTTCTGGAAAATCAGCTGCTTTTCCGGAAAACCTTGCCAGCTGTCTACACTGGCCGCTTGAATTTCCGCAAAAGCACTGACTTCCTACTGTAAGAAATCAGTGCTTTTTGCGGAAATACTATGCTGCTCCCGTTCGGGCAAAAGTCCCTTTTGCGCAAAACTTTTGTGCAAAAGGGCCAGTGTAGACAGCTCAAAAATTGCAATCGGGGCTTTTTTGCGGAAAAGCGCGTCTAGATTGGCAACGGACGCCTTTCCGCAAAAAGTGCTTTAGCGGAAAACGTCCGTGCCAATCTAGATGCTCTGTTCCGAAAATGCTTTTAACGGAAAACTTTTCCGTTAAAAGCATTTGCGGAAAATCATGCCAGTCTAGACGTAGCCCTTATCATTAATGGTTGGAATTCCTGCATTGAGTGCATAGAGACCTAGACATTATAATTTTTGTGTTGTAAGGCAATAGTATTATATCCTCAGCAGTTGTGAAAAGTTGCTTTATGTTTGCTTTAGCTGCATAAATAAAAGCGGACATCACCTATCTGACTCTCTAATTGCTCACTATTACACACTCCAAAGGGGGTTAAAATCAATGTGTAATGTGACTAGGCCAAAACCTGCTGATCACAAAAGGAATTGATCCAATAATACAGTTTGTTATACATGTTAAAACAAGGATTGGGCAGGAAGGGAGAATTTCCCAAGAAGAAACCAAGGCCACCACACTTAGGAAGATCACTTTAAAACACCTGCATCAGGAATGGGTCAGAGTTCTCACCTTCTGAATTACACGTAAAAGTCCAATCTCTGCCCTATGATAATTGTGATGAGATGGAAAGTGCATTGGTATTTGCAGTGTACAGAGCATTGTATTTTGCTGAGGAAATGCCAATCTTTCCTGTGATAGCTGGGAAACCTGCACAGGGGACCGGAAATGCTGGAAGATTTACCTTTAGGAGTTTACTCCATGTTGTTCCAGTGCGATGCTGATGCAACTTGCACTTTTCTCTGTGCCATCAGCACATGTGGGCACTCCACACTGAGTGGCATGTTTTCTGTAGCACTGGTAGGGGAATGGTTACCTGCTTCCTTTCCATATGCTAGCCGCCAAATAGATGGTGCAGTGCTTGTTCTAGCAGGATAGATTGCAACCATGGAGAACACTATTCCCCATTCTACGTAGGGTGACCATCTGTCCTGTTTTTCTGGGACTGTCCCTTATTTAAGCTCTTTTCCAGGCACCCTGACTTTTTATAAAAAGGGGGTAAATTGTCTCATATTTTCTTGCCCCCTGCTGGACCTTAAGTCCCCTGGTCAGCACAGCCGCAGCAGCCTTCTGTTTGTGGCTGGCCGTACGTCAGGCAGACCTGCACGTGGCATCCCGAGTCAGGCAGGGTGCAGAGACCAAATAGCAGAAACCAGGTAGTTGGAGACTCGTAGCCTGTATATATACAGCAAAGGGTAGGGTCTATGGAGCGCACGTCACCCCTCCCCCTGTGCACCCTAAAGAAGGGGGAGATCTGCCAGTGCTTCCAGAACATGATTGTCGCAGGGCTTAAGCCCCTTTCCCCGCTGCCCCTGCTGAAATGCCTTTTCCCGCTCCCCCACTACTAGCAGTAGCCCTGATCCTCTCCTTGCCCCCCCGGCCGCAGCCCTGTTCTCAGGCAGTCCCCGCAACTAGGCTGAATCCCCTTGCCACCGTGGAGCTGCAGCTCCATTACTGGGCAGCCCCCTTTCCCTGGAGGCCACCACCACTGGCTGCAGTCCCCATCTTCCCAGCAGCCCCATTCCCTGGCAGTCCCCATCGCTGGCTGCACCCCCATCCCGTTAGGACTTCAGACTGGCATTCCCTTTAACATGGTATCTATTGAGTGTTCCCAGATATGATTGTTGAGAACACTTTAAAGTTATATCAATCTGAATTGCGTTAACAGAAGGCTAAAAATAATAGGTCAGGAAAATTCTTAATGTTTTAGTTTTAAACTGCATTAGAAGCCTCACTAATCTTTGGGTCCTAAAGCACCTAAAACAAGTGAGATCTTTAATCACACAAGTCCAGTATAGTATTCTTCTCACTGACTTCCATTTAGTCTGGACTCCTGTGGCAAATAACCTTTAAAGTTTAAATGGTTTCATGCACTGTGTATATGTATTTGCAGGTATTGCATACCTCAGAAGACTACTTCAGTTTAAACTATAAAGAATAGTTTGACTATATGGTGGTTAACTTTAAACAGACTTAAAACCTATGCTCACAAAGATATACTTATGTATGTTCTGGAGGTAGATGAGAAATACATTACCTATGATTGCTTTCAATTTGTTTTAATGATTGTATCCAAGTATCTATATTAAACTGGGCTTTTAAATTGAAACAAGGCTGACACTGTGCATGGTGCACTGATTAAAATGGCACTTTAGGACAAGCATTCGGCCATGAATAAAACTGTTCCTCCATATTTTTGCTATCAATAATATCCTGTAGTTGGTTATGCCTTAAATTAAATACAGTTTCAAAAGAAAATATTGGAGAAAGTCTCCATTCTTCTGAAACACTGAACTAAATGCTTCTCTTATCTACAATGGTACAATGTTACTGAAGTGCAACTGTGTCTGGCCCACAGCTTTTTAAATTGTACTCAAGCAAAAGAGTGAATGTTCCCTTGTTAAGTGCAGGTAAAATAAGACGCAGAAGTCAAGCTAAGGCCTTGATTCTGTAAACACTTTGAAGCAGCTCTATTCTTGACTCTGAGGCTCCTTGCTGCAACCACCCCACCCACTTTCCTCCATTCTAACTAGATAGGGTGACCATCCGTCCCATTTTCACCAGGCCTGTCCTTTCTTTAAGCTCTATTCCAGGTGTACTGATTTTTTTTTTAAAAGAAGGCAAATTGCTCTGTATTTGCACTTCCCTTCTGGTCCTTGAGTTCCCCAGTCAGCGCAGCCACAGCGCTGTCTGTGGCTGGTCGTAAACGCAGGCAGATCAACACGTGGCATATCAAGTCGGGCAAGGTGCAGAGAGAGAAAGACAGAAACCAGGTAGTTTGGAGACTGGTAGCCTGTACACAGCAAAGATGGGGTGTATGGGGTGAGTGAGGAGGGGTGACATGCACTCCTCCGGTACACCCTTAACAAGGGGGGAGATCTTCCAGCGCTTCTAGAACATGGGGCTGAAGCACTGACCGCTGGCACCCCTGCAAGACTGAAGCCCCTTTCCCTGGTAGTCATCACCACCGGCTGCAGCTCTCATCTTCTCCCCACCCATGGGCAGCCCTGTTCCCTGGCAGTCCCTATCGCTGGCTGCACCCCCATCCCCTGACAGCCCCACTGTGTGGCAGCAACAGCCCCCATTCTTGGTGGCCCTAATCCCCAGCACACACTTCCACTGAAGCCCCATCCCTGCTCCCTCCCACCCCCTCAAGCTATGAGTGGTGGGGCTCAGGATGAGAGCAACAGGGCTCAATCCTGCGTGCCTGGAGCTACCTGTGGGGGAGAAGCCTCCAGAGTCCATGGGCAGAATCAAGGCCAGATTAACCTTCTGTGGGCCCAGAGCCAAATTTTGTTGTGGACGCTCAGGGGGTAATGGAGCATGGTGTTGGGATGCCAGTCGCCAGAGCAAGAGGGCAGCTAGGGGCAAAGGGGCATGGATGGCAGGGGCAGTCCCGTGCCACCAAGGCCAGTGCAATGGGATTATTTACAAACTGGCAGTTCTCAGGCACACAGTGGCCTGACCAGACCTGTGTTGCCAATATGCCCCTTTCTGTTGAGGGCAGGGCCATGCCATGTCCCACAGCCCCTTGACTCAACATCTCCCTATACAACTCCCTA